TAGGTGTTGAAATCACACTATTACTCAAGCTGATCTCTCTATCATCTTCAGTAATTGTTTCCATCATCTTTGATGTTCTACGCCTCATCACAGTTGTATATTGTGGTGGTGCCACCTCCATGAAAAACTTTGCAATGCGAGAATTTGCCATTCTGAATGTGAATTAATTTCAAGTGTGTTAAAGGGATAGATAGGAATGAAACTTGAAGTTGTTTTGTATATTGAGGATGTGTATGAAGCAGAAGGACACGGTTCAATTTATAAGGGGTGGCTAGAAGTAACTAACTAGGCTTAAATTGAATCAAGGGTCTTAATCTTTGAGAGTTAAATCAAATTTTATTGGCTAGTGCCGCCTTCAGCTTTTGCCATTAAATGTGATGTTATACTAGCTTACGAGATTTGTTCCTATTGTGGGACAGTGTTTGTAATGTGTCATAACCTCGATGGAAATTCTAAGATCCTCTAAGATATGGTTTTTGTTGGCTTCAGTGAGTTCCAAATTTGAACTTTTCTTTATGACTTTTCATCCATTTTAGTACTATTACACGTTTCTACATAGAGAAATGACTTTGATTTGGATGTTGATGGGGTTTATTTCTATTTATATTTGCCCCCATCTTTTTGCAGCATATTTCTATTTATATTTGCCCCCATCTTTTTGCAGCATATTTCTATTTATATTTGCCCCCATCTTTTTGCAGCAATTATTTTAATCGTACAGATATATAATTTAAAGATGTTAGATTTTATTTGAGTAGTTTTGACTTGTTTTTGAGTTTTTTTTAATAAGCAAAAGAATGAAATTAAATAGAACATTAGGGTGCTCTAACCTAAAACTATACAGGGACACAATCCCAAAACAAGAAAGCAAAACAAAGTAAAGATTACAAAAGACTATCAATAGGAGCAATGAAGAAATCTTGAAATTATTGAAATTACTTTATAAAGTAGTCCATCTCCAAACTGTAAGTTTGATATATAGAATAATATCGTTGACATTAGCTGACTCATCTTGAAAGATTAATCTATTTTTCTTGGTCCAAATTGTCTAAACTGTCGCCCACCAAAATAGATCTTCAAAACCTTGTTTCATCTTCTTAGAGAGCTCCTCCTTAAATTATTTCAAGAAATGCCAGTTGGGTTGATCTTCCTCAAAATTGATCCCTATTCCAAACCACGTTTCCACGCCTTTTCAAATATTTCTTGATGTTTGATAATGGAACAAAAGATGCAAGATGAAATTCCTCCTTAAAAAACAAAAGACATAAGGTAAATCATGAGGATTAGACAAGATACATCTTCTAAAGGGTTGATCTCCACTAGGAAGTCTGTTGAGGAACATCCTTCTACTAAAAAACTTGATTTTTAGTGGAATTTTGTTCCTCCAAATGTCAGATAAAGCCTTAGCAAGAGGAGGATTAACAACACCACCACCAGACAGAGAAGAAAACTGATCATAACAGCTCTGCACAGAAAAACAATTGGAAGGATCAGGCTTCCAGCAGAACCTGTCAGCTATCAACCTATTAAGCCTGCAGTTAGAAAGCATGTTCTTCAGGCCAGCTAAGCTGCTAGTAATACCAGTAGCATCATCTGGTAAAAACTTCTCAATGTTCCAAACACAGTAGTCCTCAATCCAAGCTCCAACATCTCCAATTGAACAATTCTTCTCAGTAGCTGATTTAGAAACCTCGGGGAAATGATTGAGTAAACTTTGATCACCAATCCAACTAGCCTAACAAAAATGAATTTTATTCCCTATACCAACGAAACAAATAATGTTACCTGCAAAACAAAAAACATTGTTAGCCTTAATAAAGTCCACGCACCCTCATCAAGTTCCTCCACCAAACATAGCTTTTTCTACTGCACCCAGATTCAACTGCAACTAAAAAAATCTAAGGCAATTAATGTTTCCATATTTACACTTAATCAACTAATACCATATGCTTTTATCTTCAACCAAAAGCCTCCATTTCCACTTACACAGAAGAGCTTTGTTAAATAAGTCTATGTCCTTGACACCTAGACCTCCATTATCTTTCTTGCTACATATCAAACTCCAATTCACCCAATAGACCTTACTCTTCAAATTCGAACCACCCCACAAGAAATTTTGATAAATAGATTCAAGTTCCTTTCTGATTCTAATAGGGATTCTAAAGAAGGACAGATTGAAGATAGGAATATAATTCAAAGTGGTGTTGATGAGAGTTATCATTCCTTCAAGAGAAAGATGTTTGTTGCTCCAAGAATTGAGCCTTCTCTTGACTTTGTCCACAAGAAATCTACAATTGTCCAGCCTCCTAGGATTACTTAGGAAGGTGAAAATGAACTCATCTACTCTGCAAGATAGAAAAGTAGAATCAACTTTAGAAACCCATCGATTCTCTTGTTCCAAGCTCTTGGAGCTTGCTTTAGCCAATACAACGCCTGCCTTAATCTATAGAACTTGGATCCCTGCTTTTTCATAATAAATTTAAGTGGTTGTGCCACATACATTGCCACTTATAAAGGATCATTAAATAAATGCAAATTTGACATCCATTTGGTAGATGGCCTAATTGTTGTCATTTGTAGTATCAATAACTAGCCTAATGGTTTCAATCCTAGCCACCGACGCAAATACTTCTTCAAAGTCTATGCATTCTCTTTGTAAATATACATTTTCCAATAATCGATTTTTATGCTTGATTATTTCACCGTTGGGATTTTCTTTCACTTTGTACACTAATCTTACACCAATTAAATTCTTTCCTTGAGGTAGATCAACTAGTTCCCATGTCTTATATTTTTAATTGATTCCAAACTTTTATTCATTACATATATCCACTTTGGATCAATCAAGGACACCTTTGTTTTCATAGGTTTATATCCAGCCATGGGCGGAAAATGGATAAGATAAACCTTATTGTTTACTTTATTATCTGAGAATAGCTCAAAATCTTGCAATCTCGTAAGCATGCCTCTTTGCCTTGTTGATCTTCTCACATTTTCTTCAACTTGGACTTCCCCAGCTACAATTTCCACCCTTTCAAGCACTATAGGAATAGTTCCAGCACTGTTGTAACCGTTTACACCTGGCCAATAATCGATTACACCATGTTATTAGTCCTTCATTTCATCGAACATCACGACCCTACTGATTTCGATTCTTTTATTATTTGCATCATATAATTTTTATCCTCCCATTAAGTGATACCCAATAGGTATCATTTGTTCTCCCTTGTCATATAACTTATTTCTAAGTTGGTCTGGAACATGTTTATACGCAAACGAACCAAATACCCTTAGGTGACTCAATTTTTGCTAGAATCCTAACCATGACTCTTTGGGTATAATGTTTTTCAACTTCTTTATTTGATGACTTTCCAAGCATAATTGGATCTTACCTTACAAAGATTACTTCTTGGGGATGGTGAAAAGAGTTCATTAGAAAAATAATCACCTCAAAATGTTAAAAATTGAAGTTATGGCCATTTGACCATAGCATCCACAATTTGCTAAATTAGGTCAAACACCTTGAACCAACTTTGAATCTCTTGGTTATTTCTTGCCAACCAAGACATGGTGAACCACATATGATCTTGAAATGATATTTCCTTGAATCGAACTTGAGGATGAGGGGCCTTGGGGTTTAAGGATGCCACAAAGTCAAGAAGAAAACTTTGCTTGAGGTTGAAGAAACATGCCCCTTCTTCCTAAGAAACAAGCCATGATAACCTTGATCCTTTGTCTAGAACAATGTTATGCAAAAATGAATATGAAGATCCAATGAAATATAAGCTAAGACACGAGAAGAGAGATGGGCAAATTTTGGGGTGCTACACTATTGTGCACACGAAAGCGCGCGATGCAACACGTAATTATTCCAGCGGTTTGCTCGCATTTGCTCCTTTTTCAACCAAATTTCTCTAAGTCCCTAATTCTTCATAGTTGGTTATTTTTGCTCTATTCTTTGGTCATTATCATCAAACTTGATCATATTTGACTTGTTTTTTTTTGTTTCTTCTACAGAAAATATGCAATGATAGAGTGTCATTAGTTTTACACGAGATAACTACCAATCAAAATGAAATTTTAATATTGGGCTGAGTTTTCGAACCGAAGCGGTAACTTAGTAACTAAATCTCTAAAATCAAGATTTTAACGAATTTAGGTTTGAATCCAAATAAATAATTTCTAAATAAATGAATTATTCAACAAAAGTTAATTTTTTTTTATAAATTTACAATACTACCCTTCAAAATTACAAATTTCTTACTTGCAATACAACTTCTCAAAAGCGCTACAACTAAATAAGAGAGAGAGGAATCTTCGGGAAATCCTCAATTTTCGTCAAAATGAAAGGTAAAGTGGAAATGCCTAAATATGAGAACCTTCTTTAGATTTTATAGTTGGGATTTAGGATTTGGGTTCCTAGAACCTTTATATGGGGAACACCTCTCACATAGGAGATATTCTTGCCTTGATCTGACAGTCTTTACTGCTTTGCGGAGCATTTGGACCTCTTACTATCCATGTCCATATTGCTCTCCTGTTGGATTTTATATAGAGTGGACTTTGATCGATACCGGAACAAATATAATAATAAAATAGAATAGAAATTTAAAATTTCATTTTAAATCATTGTATATGTACCTTTTGGAGACAACTCTGTTAACCCATGCTATATTTTGAGAGGGAGTATTTATAATTATTGTTTTAATAATCGGCTTATATGACTCTATGACACATTCGATATGCATGCCAAATCCTGTGGCAGTTTAGTTTTTAATATTGATAGAAAATTTTGAGCCTGTTCATAGAAAACATACACAGTTGCTGTAGTCCCTAATGTTATGTGTCAACTATCCTTGTTCATATAAACATTAAACAAATCATCATTACAAAAAAGATAATAGAAAAACAACAACAACAAAAAGAAATATTGCTGCTTTACATGGAAACAACAACAAAGGGCTTTTTTCCTTCTCTTCATTAGGTTGCCCAAAAGTGCTTCAGTGATTCAAACTGGAGAGCTTTCTATGAACTTCCTTCAGAAAGAAGCTAGTATTAACAGTTGCATTGGTAGAAGAAGAGGCAGAAGCAGAAGCAGAAGGTGATGAAACTGAAATTACACTATCATTTAAGCTAATTTCCCTATCCTCTTCGGTAATTGTTTCCATCATCTTTGATGTTCTACGTCTCATCACACTGACATATTGTGGTGGTGCCACCTCCATGAAAAACCTTGCAATGCGAGAATTTGCCATTCTTGATGTGAATTAATTTCAAGTGTTTAAAAAGGATAGCTATTTGCTGAGAGATAGATATGAATGAAACTTCAGATGAAGTTGTTTTGTATATTGAGGATGTGTATGAAGCAGAAGGACACGGTTCAATTTATAAGGGGTGGCTGGAAGAAACTAACTAGGCATAAAATGAGTCAAGGGTCTTACTCTTTGAGGGTTAAATCATTTTTATTGGCTAGTGCCGCCCTCCAGCTTTTGCTATTAAATTTGATGCCAAACTAGCTTACAATACTTTTTCTATCGTGGGACAGTGTTTGGCAATGTGTCGAAACCTAGATGGACATTCTAATATTCTCAAAGATATGGTTTTTGTTTGGTCCATTGAGTTCCAAATTGCACTTTTCTTTGTACTACTACACGTTTCTATATAGAGAAATGACTTTGGTTTGGATGTTGATGGGGTTTATTTCTATTTCTATATTTTCCCTTCTTTTTTTGCAGCAATTATTTCAACAGGAATGTTATTTTTACACTTTTTTATATTAAATATATACACCGTACATATATATTATTTCTAGTATTTATACGGTGAATAAAATGTTTTTAAATAAAAAAATAATTTTTATGAAGAGTGTATAAATACTGTGTGAACAGTACTTATAAATAGTATCTATGAACAATACATGTGAACATAAACTTTAGAGTAGTGAAACAAAGTTGATTAATGAAATGTAAAAAGTTTGTTAATAAATGATGAGATATTAAAAATAACTTGTAATAGGGAACCAAAATTGATTAATAAAAAGAAAAAAGTTAGTTAATAAAGTTATGAAATTTATTAATAAATGTTCAAATGTTAAAAATATTTTTTTAGCAGAAACAAATTTGATTAATAAAATGTAAAAGGTTGGATAATGAAGTTATGAAATTGGTTAATGACACAACTTTATATCAATATCATTTAATTTAAAAATAAAAAAAATTATTTAAATATTATTATAATATTTTACTATTCACCGTATTGTAAAAAAATACGGTGTAGGTGTAGCAACTAGTGTAAGAATAAATTTTTCTTATTTCGATCGTACAAATGTATAATTTAAAGATGTGTTTTATTTGAGTAGTTTGATTTGTTCTTATGGTGATTCAGAATTGAGAATTTTTCATCTCGATACTCATTTTTTCAATTTAAATTTTAAAATAACCAACTTTTTTTCATATATGCCAAACTACCGAATTTTAAAAAAATGTTAGTTAAAGCAATTCACATTTCCTCTTCGATTGAATAGGGTGCGCCAATTGAATGGGTGTTTCTATCTTTTTTATTTGACATTTTCTGCAAATTATTCTGCAGATTTAACGTTTTTTGCGGATGTACCTGCGAATTTTTCCATGTCTCTATTTTATTTTTGCAAGAAGAATGCTGCGCAGAAACATCCGCAGAAAACTTTATAGAAAATGTCAAATCTGCAGAAAACTTTACAGAAAATGTCAAATCTGCAGAAAAATCCACAGTAAACGTAAAATAAAATAAAAAATACAGAGACGTCAATTCAATTGACACACCTTATTTAATTGAAAAATAAGCATAAATCGTTTTAATTGGACCCTTTTGTTTTTGAAAATTGGATAGTTTGGTGTATATGAGACAAAATTGGTAATTTAAGTTGGAAAAGATGAGTATTAAGGTGAAAAATTCTATAATTGATATTTGTGATTATATTTTTTAAGATGACTTAAATGCAGTTTTGATCCCCTTATATCCGTTTTGATAGTTTTTTAGTCCCCATTTAAAAGTATAGCTTTATGGTTCCCTAGTATCATATTCCATGTTTTCTGGTAGTCCCCCTGTTAGTTGGGATTTTCGACAAGGAAAAAATCTCAGTATAGTTAGAGGGCTTGGAAAAAGTTAAGGTTAACTAGATGACTGCTAAAGTGTTATTGTTGCTGCATAAGTCGAAAGTCTCAAGAGGAGAGATAAATGAGACTTAGTATTTTTTTTTCAAGTAAAAGGAGTATGTTATCTGAAATTTCGACGGTATGGTTATTCAAATTTTTGACATCAATAAGGCGTGCCGATCAGCAGTTATTTGAGCGCGAATGAGTGTTTTGTTCAAAATGATAACTACTTGTCAGTCTCATTCCAAAGGACACGTGAAAAACAGTTGTAAGTAAGATACATGAAAGAATCTACGTGGCGAAGGCTGAGGAAACGAATTGGATAGTTTGGTGTATATGAGAGAATGTTAGTTATTTTGAATTTTAAGTTGGAAAATATGAGTATTAGGTTGAAAATTTTCATAATTGATATTTATAATTACATGTATAATATTAATTATCATGTTGTCAAATTTAAGCAATATATATTAGAGTATACTATCATAGGCATAAAACAACTCTGCCTTATGACGATAAAGTGAGTTGTAAAACAAATTTAGATAAAGTTGTTAGGATGTGTACAAGTTAGTAACACATTACTGAGCTGGCACTAAGTTGGTTATGCTCAGTGCACACTCACTAGCTGCCTATAAATATGGAACTCTGTGTGTGTAACAGATTAATAAATTATCAATAATCAAATTTCTATTTCTCTATTTCAATGGTGAAGCATTCTTAATCCCTTCCCTTTTATATCATGGTATATAGAGCCTTCTGATCCAATTTTGTCATGGCTTCTCACGAAACTTCACAATCATCACCTTCGAAGAATGACAATTCTTCGAGCAACACTGAGAAATCAAAATTTGAAAATTCCTTGAAAAACACGTACAAAATGTCCGTGCACCAGATTACTATAAATCTCGATGATTCCAATTTCCTCTCATGGAAACAACAACTTGATGGTATCATTCACATCCATAAGCTGCATCGCCATCTCACGAATCCTGATATACCTCTGTGTCATCTCTCGGTTGACGGTCGTGCCTCCAAAGTGGAAAATCTTACGTATCTTGCGTGGAAGTAGGAAGATTCGCTCCTCTTCACATGGCGGTTGGCGAAGCTTTCCAATTTGCTTCTTCCATGGTTGGTGAAGTGCGTTCACGCACATGATATCTGGAATGTGATCGGTCTGTTTCAACGCACTCAGATATATGTAAATCTCGACAACTTTGCTATGAGTTATGGGGCATTGAGAAGGGCGATCACACAATTGCTTAATATCTTAGACGAATTCAACAAATTATAGATATCCTAAAATCTATAGATGATTCACTCTCACATAGTGGTCAAGTAGAAATAATTCTAGATGGTCTTCCTACTTATTATCAAGTTCTTGCTTCGATTATTCAGTATTGTGATGAACTGTGTGCCCTAATTATTGTTGAAACTATGCTTCTATATCATGAAGCTAGAATTGAACAAGCACCTCAAACACCTGTACAATAGCCTCTTTCTGTTAACCTCACTCAAGGTACCATTGCAACTACTTTAACTAACAATCTGTCTGCACATCTAGATGCTCAATCCCAAAGACCTTCTCATGAGTTTGTTTCCTCATTTGTTGGAACTCATGGAGATTTCAAAGGTGGCAGATCTAGTGGATTTCGTGGTGGTGGTAGAAATGATGTAGAACACGTGTCCAGTGTGAAATTTGCTCCAAATTTAGACATGATGCTAAAGTGTGTTATCATCACCTCTCAACCACACCTCAACAGTTATATCAGTGGAGAAACTCTGCACCTTATCTTCAATCTCAACACCAATTTATGTCTCCATGGGCCCATACTCTACCTTCTGTCACTCCAATAATCTGTGGTTAGATCCTGTAGGTCTAACCAGGAGAGCACCTTCAATTGGCTTTTCCTTTAGGAAAGTCAATCAACCTTATCCTTCATACTCTCAGAAGCAACCTCAAGCCTACCTAATTGGGACATAGTTCACTAGCAATCCATTTTCATCTTCTTAGTGGTATCCAGATTCTGGAGAAACTTATCATGTCACCAATAATATAGATGATTTTTTGGATAATATTTCTACATCTAACTCAGATCAAGTGGTGCTTGGAAATGGCCAATATTTGTCAATCATGAAAGCTTCATGGATTTGACTAAAATTTGGTAAAACATAATGTTAAACAAGAGGTTCTATTTTGAAGAAACCTACCCCAGACCAAAGATGTCGAATGAAATGTCCCAACATGAAGACCCGACATCATGACTGTCTCAGTAGGTTTTTTTTTTTTTAAAATCTGTTCCAAAATTCAAGGCGCGTTTAAAAGTGGATCAAGGAAAAAAGATTTGAAGCTCAAGAGAGCTGAAGATTATAAAAGAAAGACCTAGACCTAAGGTAGAAAAATAATCCTTGTGTAATACTCTTAAAGTATGAAATAAGGATTTAGGATTTTGAGAGACGTAGGCTTTCTTGTGTTGTAACTCTTGTGGTAGACATAGATGTTTATACAGATTCAGAGACCTGTAGGTAGTGAATTATATATTGTTCTTGGATGAAGCTTTGAAGCAAATCCAAGTAGGTTTGTTAGTCAAGGTTACTTGGCTGAACTTTGTATTGAAAGAGGTGTCTTTCAAGTAGGATGATGCAGTTGATGTCGATTGTAACTATTAGATATCACAGGTAGTGGTTAAGGGAGTGAGATGGGTTTCTCTTATCAATTAGATGTGACTTCTAATGATAAAGTTTTCATTGGGTAGTGATAGGTAAATCCGAGGTTGTTTACTATAAACCAGAGGTTGTTTACATAAAACTATACTACTGATAATGGATTCTTCTTCTTCCCTTGGTAGCCCCCAGATGTAGGTGAATTGCACCAAACTGGATTAACATATCTTGAGTTATTTATCATTCTGCAAATTTACACTTCAATATTTTTTTATTGATTAACATGTTGTAACAGATGTTGAAACATCTGTCGTGATTCTGTTGCCGATACTTAGACTATCAACTTGTTTATTCTACCCTTGTTTTAAAGTTATGCAGAGAACAATGTCGTGACATGTTGTTAGGACATCTGCAATATGCTTGCCAGAATTTCAAATCACATCTATAGGATCTACCACTTTTCACTCCACACACAATCAACTTTTCAAATTTAATATGAACAATTTGCTTCTGGTCCCTAAAATTACCAAGAACCTCATATTAGTTAGCCAGTTTTCCAGAGATAATCATGTATACTTTGAGTTTCACCCTGATGTTTGTCTTGTCAAATCACAAGGTGCTTCTAAAGTGCTGCTCTAGGGTCCTATCAGAAAAAATCGTGAGGGTCTTTCCACGGTAATAACTTCTCAATATATTGACATGTTCAATTTTTTTTGGTAATAGGGAGAGTCACGACCTAAAAGAGAAAAAACTACAACAAAATGTACCCCTATTCCCATTGTGTAATAATTTTATCGCTTTCCTATCGCGTAAAATCAACCATATTTCAAAGAAAAAAAAAGCTTGATCCAACATCGAGTAACTTTCTCAAATCAAACCACTTTCACTATCGATTCACGACCATTTTCAAATCAAGCTTATTTAATACCGTTTCAATAATCATTTCCAAACTAAATTCATTCAATCTCATTCATAATCAAAACCATTTTCATAGCTTAATTCATTATGCAAACGCAAATTAAACACTTGATCCAACGTCAAACTCTTTTCATAATCAAACTCAAAATGACTAATGCATAATTTGAAGCTTTTTCGCTAATGAAAGAAAAAGGCTACCTGGGCGAAAGGTCTAGTCATAGTCCCGAGTATTAGGCCCAAGTGATAATCGCTTGCAAGCCATAAATATCTCGTCTTTCTCTAAAATATCAATGTGTCTACTTTTTGCAATAAATCGAAAGAAAAAGACTACCTAAGTGAAAGGTCCAGTCATAGTCCTGAACACTAAGCCCAAGTCATAATAGCTTGCAAGCTCAAATATTTGTCATTCGCTTAAAAAAACTTGTAACTATTCAAACCTTTTCACAAAAAAAATTGAAAGAAAAAGACTACTTGGGTGAATGGTTAAGTCATAGTCCCGAGTATTAGGATCAAGCGCTAATCGCTTCTAAGTCATGAGTACTCGTCTTTCAAGATTAAAACATACTAAAACCAATCAAATCTATTTTTTCTCTTCGTTTTGCGATCGAAACTTTTTCATAAAGAAAAGATGCTTCGTCCATTCCGAGACGATGCAAACAGGTTTTGTCCCTACATGTGCAAGAAGTTAGAACACTTTCTGCTCGTATGTGATGAGAACAAATATGTGAGAATCTGGATTATGTTATCCATTTTGATGCGATGTCAATGTTTATTTATTTATTTTTTGGATAGTAAACAATATTTTTTGCTCGATTGCGACTAAGTGCCTTTCGCTGAAATCGACAAACAAACAAACATTTTCTACCCAGAACTACGTAGCCTTGAATTCTCTATCACACTTGGAGATACGTTGTCGAAAGACCCGCAATCTTGTCAGACACATTAATAAAAAAACTTTTTGTGGTTTCCTTTCTTTTTCTTTTTAATCTTTTAATAACTCGAAGAAAACAAATTACATAAGCTAACATTTCAATCGCATGTCTAACTAAAAGGTTTCCGTTTAGTACAACAGACGTGAGGGGTGCTAATACATTTTCCTTGCATAATCGACTCTCGAACCCGAATTTGGTTGCGGCGACCATGTTCTTTTCAAAAGTCTTATCAATATTTTCCTTTTCCTTCATTAGAATAAATAAACTTCGGTGGAGACTCTATTCGAACTATTTTTCACGAGTGTGTAATATTCGCTTCGCAAAGGATCGTTTTTTTCGAGGTACGATATTGTGCAACAAGCGTCAGATTGTTGCGCTTTAACATAATCTTTTGCGAAGATTCAGTTATGTTTATTCCTATTGGTTTAGCAATATGATTATATGATATGTTGGATAGCTGTGAAGATGAAAGAGGTTTAAATTTGAATTTATAACAAACCAAATCATATCTTTTTTTGTGTGGAGATATTCAAGGAGCAACTCAAATATCCAATAGATTGTGCAAAGATTCTGGACAAAAATAATTGCAGATCTCAAGAAAAAAGCTCAGATTTTTTTATTTATTTATAAAAGGAGCTCAAACCTACATTAAAAAGTAAGCAGTCACATTGAAGATTTTAGAGTGATAGGATTTACAATAGTCCTTGTTATTTTTATGTACATCTCTATATTTCAATAACTTGACATATAAGGCTTATCTAATTGAATTTTAATATTCAACATCAACCATCTTGTTAGATTGAAGTTGATCACTAGGGTTTACTGATTGTTATCTCCTATCACGGGTTGTGTGATGGAGAAGAAAGCGAGTAAATTCTCATGTTTAGAGAGAGACTCTAAATAGAAAGTCGTTGAGTAATGTTAGGAAGAGGTATTGAACAGTATATAATTTGTTGTTGCTTGTAAGTCTAGTTGTACTAAGCTATTAATACAAAATTCTATTTTTGGGTTGTGGACTCTGCCCCCCAACCGTAAGTGTAGTTTCATCGAATTGGATAAACAAATATTTGTGTTTTTTAATTGTTTTTTTGCTTCATCATCTAGTACTTGTTATTGTACTGGTTCTGGTTTATCTTGTCGAACCAGTTGTCAAAGCATCGAGTTCGACATCTATCTTCTAGGGAACAAAATTTTATTTTTAATAATAGATGGATAAATAAAGGTCGAATAATATCATACATTTAGCGGTATCAGTGTCGTATGTTTTTGAAATTATCGATATCAAAATATCTGTGTTATACTGTATCTCTATATCCGTATCAGAAACCGTAATTCATACCCCATAAAATATTTCAATACTTAAGTTGTCTACGGTCAAAAGAGAACAAAAGTATTTAATATTAAAATAATATGTACATAAATACGAAGCCTTTGTTAGATTTTTTAGTAGAGTTTTAGGGTACATATTCCTAAAACCTTCTCTTAGGGCACATGTATTCTCAAATCTTTTCTTTCCTTTATCCGATAGTACCAAGTTGCGTACCATTTGAAGCTTTTACTATTTCGATAGCTCTCTTTGGTTGATTTTATGGAATGGACATAGAGATCTGGATAAATATATAACCATTAAATATAATATAAATTTTAAATCATTGTATATGTACCTTTTGGAGACATCCCTGTTAACCCATTGCTATATTTTGAGAGGCAGGATTTATAATTATTGTTTTAAATATCAGTTTATATGACTCTATGAAACATTCGATATGCATGCCAAATGTCGTGGCAGTTTAGTTTTTAGTATTCATAGAAAATTTTGAGCGTTTATGTATATAGAAAACACAGATGCTGGAGTCCCTAATGTTAAGTCTTAACTATCCTTGTTCATAGAAACATTGAACAAGGCACTATTCCATTAAAAATAAGAAAACAACAACAACAAAAAGAAATATTGCAGCTTTACATGGAAAGAACAACCAAATATTTTTTTTCCATTAGGTTGCCCAAAAGTGTTTCAGTGATTCAAACTTGAGAGTGTTCTATGGACTTCCTTTAGAAAGTATCTACTATTAACAGTTGCATTGGTGGAAGAAGATGTACAAGCAGAAGCAGCTAGTGATGAAGCTGAAATAGCTGATGAACTTTTAGGTGTTGAAATTACACTATTACTCAAGCTGATCTCTCTATCATCTTCAGTAATTGTTTCCATCATCTTTGATGTTCTACGCCTCATCACAGTTGTATATTGTGGTGGTGCCACCTCCATGAAAAACTTTGCAATGCGAGAATTTGCCATTCTGAATGTGAATTAATTTCAAGTGTGTTAAAGGGATAGATAGGAATGAAACTTCAGTTGAAGTTGTTTTGTATATTGAGGATGTGTATGAAGCAGAAGGACACGGTTCAATTTATAAGGGGTGGCTAGAAGTAACTAACTAGGCTTAAATTGAATCAAGGGTCTTAATCTTTGAGGGTTAAATCAAAATTTATTGGCTAGTGCCGCCTCCAGCTTTTGCCATTAAATGTGATGTTGTACTAGCTTACGAGATTTGTTCCTATTGTGGGACAGTGTTTGGTAATGTGTCATAACCTCGATGGAAATTCTAAGATCCTCTAAGATATGTTTTTTGTTGGCTTCAGTGAGTTCCAAATTTGAACTTTTCTTTATGACTTTTCATCCATTTTAGTACTATTACACGTTTCTACATAGAGAAATGACTTTGATTTGGATGTTGATGGGGTTTATTTCTATTTATATTTGCCCCCATCTTTTTGCAGCATATTTCTATTTATATTTGCCCCCATCTTTTTGCAGCAATTATTTTAATCTACAGATATATATATTTTAAAGATGTTAGGTTTTATTTGAATAGTTTTGACTTGTTTTTGAGTTTTTTTTAATAAGCAAAAGAATGAAATTAAATAGAACATTAGGGTGCTCTAACCTAAACAAAGTAAAGATTACAAAAGAATATCAATAGGAGCAATGAAGAAATCTTGAAATTATTGAAATTACTTCCTAAAGTAGTCCATCTCCAAACTGTAAGTTTGATATATAGAATAATATCGTTGACATTAGCTGACTCATCTTGAAAGATTAATTTATTCCTCTTAGTCTAAATTGTCTAAACTGTTGCCCACCAAAATATACCTTCAAAACCTTGTTTCATCTTCTTAGAAAGCTCCTCCTTAAATTATTTCAAGAAATGCCAGCTGGGTTGATCTTCCTCAAAATTGATCCCTATTCCAAGCCACGTTTCCACGCCTTTTCAAATATTTCATGATGTTTGATAGTGGAACAAAAGATGCAAGATGAATTCCTCCTTAAGAAACAAAAGACACAAGGTAAATCATGAGGATTAGACAAGATACATCTTCTAAAGAGTTGATCTCCACTAGGAAGTCTGTTGGGGAACAACTCCAACTAAAAAACTTGATTTTTAGTGGAATTTTGTTCCTCCAAATGTCAGATAAAGCCTCAGCAAGAGGAGGATCAACAACACCACCACCAGACAGAGAAGAAAACTGATCATAACAGCTATGCACAGAAAAATAATTGGAAGGATCAGCCTTCCATCAGAACCTGTCAGCTATCAACCTATTGAGGCTGCAGTTAGAGAGCAAATTCTTCAGGCCAGCTAAGCTGCTAGTCATACCAGGAGCATCATCTGGTAAAAACTTCTCAATGTTCCAAACACAGTAGTCCTCAATCCAAGCTCCAACATCTCCAATTGAACAATTCTTCTCAGTAGCTGATTTAGAAACCTCGGGGAAATAATTGAATAAACTTTGATCACCAATCCAAGTGGCCTAACAAAAATGAATTTTATTCCCTATACCAACGAAACAAATAATGTTACCTGCAAAACAAAAAACATTGTTAGCCTTAATGAAATCCACCCTCCTCAAGTTCCTTCACCAAACATAGCTTTTCCTACTGCACCCAGATTCAACCGCACGTAAAAAAATCTAAGGCAATTAATGTTTCCAATTTACACTTAATCAACTATGTTAAATTTGCTACAAATTTCTAGAGAGTTCTTAAATATAATATGTAAGAAAATATAGAACATCCTAGAAACTATAAGGTGTATGAATATGGTAGAATAATCTAGATATATAAGTATATGGCAAAGATAGAAAAATCTAGATTTATCATGATAATAAGCTATCATGAGAACTCTAGAATATTCACCACCATTGAAAGGTTGGTGACTTAAGCCTATAAATAGGCATTTGCTACATTGTAAACTATCATCCAAGAAATTAATCACAAAACCTTCTTTCTAAACTACTCTCTAAAACTATCTTCTACCAACTATCATCTAAACAATTTCAAACAGTGGCATCCGAGCTACGTTCGGTCATACATTGGGCGTAGTTATACTAATACCTACCATTTCTTAATCCTCCAAACTACTTCAAAATATTTCCCTTATACTATTAACCCACTACAATATTTTGTCTAAGCCATGGATAACACTACTCAATCATCAACTATTTGTGTCCCTATTTTCAATGGTGAAAATTATGATTTCTGGCGTGTTAAAATGGAAACATATTTTTCATCTCAAGATTTATGGGACATAGTAGAAGAAGGGTTCATCGCTCCCATAGATACTTCAGCTCTAAATGCAACTCAAGAAAAAGAGTTGAAGAAAAATAAACAGAAAAATTCAAAGGCATTGTTCACCTTGCAACAAGCGGTGACTGATGCAATTTTTCCAAGAATTATGGGAGCTAAGACTGCAAAAGAAGTGTGGAAGACGTTGCAGGAGGAGTTTTAAGGAAATGACAAGGTACGTGCTGTCAAACTTCAATCTCTAAGAAGAGATTTTGAACTATTGAAGATGAAGGAGTCTGAGACAGTTAAATATTACTATTCTAAAGTTAAAGAAATAGTTAATCAAATGAGAGCTTTTGGGGAGGATATTCTTGACAAGAAAATTGTTGAGAAAATTATAATTACTATGCCCCAAAAATTTGACCCAATCGTGACAACAATAGAGGAAACCAAAGATCTGTCTACTCTATCAGTGACAGAACTAGTGGGCTCTCTTGAAGCATATGAGCAAAGACTACATAGGCATAAAGAAGATACACTTGAAAATGCCTTTCAGTCAAAGCTCAAATTTAAGTCCCAAAATAAAGAAAATGGAGGAAAGAAAAATTATGGTGAAACTTCCAAAAGAAGAGAAGTTCCTAGAAATTTCCAAAAGAACAATCCAGATAAAAATATTCCATGCAATATATGCAAACAACTAGGCCACGAGGAGAAAAGTTGTTGGTACCGTAATATGCCACAATGCAATCATTACAAGAAATTCGGGCACATAGAGAAACATTGTCGCAACAAAAATAGGCATCAAGCTAATATCGCAGAGCATGATCAAGAACAATGTATGTTCTATGCCACTCAAGAATCAATCAAAGAAAAAGGAGTAAGTTGGTACTTGGATAGTGGATGTAGCAATCACATGGCCAAGGATGAGACTATTTTCAAAAGCATTGATAAGTCAGTCAAAGTCAAAGTTCGACTAGGAAATGGAAGTGTGGTTGAGTCAAAAGGAAAAGGCACCGTCGTGGTAGAGACAGATAAAGGTACGCGACTCATCCATGATGTCTTACTAGTTCCCAGCCTAAAAGAAAATCTTCTAAGCATTGGCCAAATGATGGAGAGAGGCTACACACTTCACTTTGAAGGAGGTGTATGCAAAATCTTAGACAACAAGAATAAAAGGGCCGAGATAGCTGAAGTGAAGATGAATAAGAGCAATAGAAGCTTCTCGTTAAATTTAAAATATACAACTAACATTGCCATGAAGGTACAAGTTGATGATTCATGGCTTTGGCATCGAAGATTTGGCCATTTCAACACACATGCCTTGAAGTTGTTACATGATAAGAACATGATGAGAGATCTTCCAAGCATAAAGGATAACAATGAAGTGTGTGAAGGATGTCTCCTTGGTAAGCAACACCGATTTCCATTCTCAACAAGCGGAGCATGGAGAGCAAAAGATCTGTTGGAGCTGATACATACTGACGTCTGTGGACCGATGAGGACACCATCACACGAGAACAACAGGTACTTCATACTCTTCATTGATGACTTCTCTAGAATGACATGGGTCTATTTCTTGAAAGAAAAATCAGAAGTTTTTGGAGTATTCAAAAGGTTCAAGGCCCTTGTTGAAAATCAAAGTGGAAAGCGGATAAAAGTACTAAGAAGTGATCGCGGCAAAGAGTACACATCCAGCGAGTTTGATAGATTTTGTGAGGATGAATGCATAGAGCGACAACTTACAGTCGCATATTCTCCTCAGCAAAATGGTGTGTCTGAGAGAAAGAATCGCACAGTTATGGAGATGGCTAGATTGATGCTCAAAGAGAAGCGACTACCTAACATATTCTGGGCTAAAGCAGTTTACACTATTGTTTACTTACTCAACAAATGTCCAACTAAATCTGTACAAGATAAGACTCCAATTGAGGCTTGGAACGGGAAGAAGCCATCAGCAAAGCACCTAAGGGTCTTTGGATCTATATGCTACATTCATATTCCAGACATGAAGAGGCATAAGCTTGAAGACAAGACTATACGAGGTATCTTCTTGGGGTATAGCACAATATCTAAAGGCTACCGTGTATATAACTTGCAAACAGAAAAACTCATCATCAGTCGAGATGTTGAAGTTGATGAGAATGCTTCTTGGAATTGGGATGAAGAAAAAGTGGAGAAGAACGTTCTTATACCCACTCAACTACCTCAAGAAGAAGCTGAGGAAGAAGTTCTAGGTGAACCTTCTTCACCTCCACCACAACAACAAGTTCAAGAACTATCATCACCAGAGTCTACTCCAAGACGAGTAAGATCTTTGAGAAACATATATGAAACCTGCAACATGGCTATACTCGAACCTGGAAGCTTTGAAGAAGCATCAAAGCATGAAGCATGGGTCAAGGCAATGGAAGAAGAGATAAAGATGATCGAGAAAAATAACACATGGGAGTTAGTAAATCGTCCCCATGGAAAAGATATCATTGGGGTTAAGTGGGTCTATAAGACAAAGCTCAATCCTGATGGCACCATACAGAAACATAAGGCGTGGCTAGTAGCTAAGGGTTACTCAAAACAACCTGGGGTTGACTACAATGGGACATTTGCACCAGTAGCTCGTCTTGATACCATTAGAGCTCTAATAGCTCTTGCGGCACAAAAAGGATGGAGTATACATCAACTGGATGTCAAATCTTCCTTCCTCAATGGTGTACTTGAAGAAGATATCTATGTGG